AATGAACGACCACTTTATTAAGTTCTTTTAATTGGTTTAGCTCCATGTAACCTTCTTTTTCAAAGTCATTGACCACTTAATTAATTGCACATTGTTTTTCTCCATCAATTGCATAAGCACCTTATCACAATCCACACGTGGGTTCCCACCATTACCATTCATCATTATCTTCTAACCAAGCACCTTGATCTTATTCAGTTTGTAAAGATAATTCTCATCCTTTATGTTACAATAGTCATGATCACGGTCAATATCAGTTGGCAATGCTAATTCCCATAACAAAGTCTTAGGTTTAAATCCTGTGTATGTAAAAAATTCCCCTTAGGAGAGCTAGCTCCACGCCACCATGACTTTTTTTGTACGTAGCTTTGGAGGTCAAATGCCCCCTGGTTTTGCATCAAATGGATTGCAACAGGTATATAATACAATATTTACCAAATTGTTCTTGTATTTTCTATTTGAGATTATGATTGGAACTTATGTTTTCTGTTTCATATGAGTGACTGCTGCATCTTGAACCTATTACATTGCTGGGTGTACTTTTCTTTATGTCTACCTTTAATCATAGTGTTTTGTAGGACTCTGACTATTATTCTGGTTATTGTTGACATTGTTAGTATTGCTTTCTTCAAAATAATACCCTTTAGTCTAAGACTTAGATTATGGATATAAATAATTAAACAGATACGTATGATATATGGTTCTCTATAAATTAGCTGAGTTCCCTCTAGATTTTTCGTGGTAAATTCCAGAAAGTTTAGGACACATCTCCATCTCAAGTAAACAAAAATGATTTTTTTTAATAGAAACTTTTAAGAAATAATAAATAGAAAAAAGTGTGTGCTCAGCAAGGGCACTCAATTAATACGTATGACATTACTTTTTCTCAGTTTACCTTTAATAACATTATTATTTTCTTTTTATATTTGTCCTTGCTAAGCAAGAGCACTTAAATACTTTTTAAGTTGATTTGAAATCATGACATGTCACTGAGGTTTATCATTGACACAATGCTCTAATGATAGAAACACCTTTATGGCATTAACAGTAGCTAGTTGATCCAAGGAACAATCTTACATGCAAACGAAACGTGCAAAGAGGCAAAAACAGCCTCCACTTCTGTCATAAATCATGGTGAATACATTTTTATACATATCTGGTAGTTCTTCTTGTGAACCTTTTCTAACATTTATGGCATTTCCCATCCTTTTCTTTTGTATTTTGGAAAGCTAGCTACCATATCCCCATGTGGCCTTCTCAACAAACTAACTTAGAAACTTAATGCTTGATTCACTTATTGATTGCTAATTGATTAGAAGTCTTAATGCATATTATGATGAAATTTCCATTTATTTTGTTCATACTTGTCTTATGTTTTTAATTGCTTTAAAATTGTTGTTGGTGATGTTTTCACCTATTTTTTAATTTTTTTTATTTGATGTTATGCATTTGACATTTAGTTTTTCTATTAAATTTTTGATGCAGCCTCAAGATTTGGGCTCTCCTAATGGACTCAGGCCTTCTTCTTCTGCTAGCCATGTACCAAATGCACAAGGACCAAATTCACCTGAACCTCATAATCATGGACTCCCATCTCCTCCATAGTCCTCTTTTTTATGTTTCTGAGAACAATATCACCCATGACATTTTGGTGATGGCTTTTTGTAATGACTTTTTGTTAGTTAACTTTTATATTTTGGTGTCTATTTGTCAGGGTGAATTAATGTTATGACAATATTGACAATTACACTTCTCAGTTATAGTTAGGTTTAAAATTATTAGAATTCGGTGTCAATGTTTATAACTATTAGAATTTGGTGCATGTGTTTAGAAAAGTCTACTGATTCTAACTTTAATTTTGGATGAAAAGCATACATTTTTAATTTATTTACAAAGTTGTTATATTGAATTAAAAAAAATTAAAACTTCAATCTTTCTCCATTTTTCCATTCGTAATAATTAAATATATATTGTTATTCCTAATAATTAAATATATATATATATATATATATATAATTGTGTACAAAAAAATAAATGTTTAGGTTTAATGTTTAAATTTTTTAAAAGAAATTATTATATTTATTTTGACAACAGAGAATATTGCATTAATTTTTTATAAAATTCTTAAAAAATTAAATATTATTTAATTATAATTTAAATTTGTATAATTCAACGACATTTCTAAACCGCCTTTAAAATCTTATTCCATGACCCTTAGCTAGCCTTTGACATCTTTTTTAACGACGCTTTTAAATCGCCTTCGAATTGTTAATTCACGATGTTATTCTGCGACGTTTCAATACCGCCTTGAGATATTATCCCACGACGGTTACATAAATTGCCTAGGAATTCTTAATCCACGACGCTTTATAAACCACCTTTGAATTCTTATTCAACGACTCTTATACAACCGCCTTAGAATACTTATTCCGCGACGGTTAAATAAATGACGTCATGTGGAATTCCACAACGGTTAGGAAATCGCCTTTGAATATTCATCTATTTTTTTAGGATATGCTAAGGCGATGATAACCGCCTCAGCAACCGCCGTTGAATTCTATTTGACGGTTATTCCAGCGGTTCAATCAAACCGTCGTTGAATTGCCTCTGGACGATAGTAACTACGACGGTTGGTTAACGGCCAAAACCTGCATTTGGAGGCGGTTCAAACCATCGTGAAATGACTTATGAACCGCCTCCGTATACCTCTTTTGTTGTAGTATAGACACCAAAAATTGTCCAGGAAATTCAAATTTAAAATAAAACAAAACAAAAAATAAAAATAAAAATAAAATCTTGTCACTGATGTTCTGCAATGGAGGTTTGGTTAAGGCACCATGTTTGATTGTGAAAGTAGAAAAAGGCAGAGACCAAAAATGGAACATTGAAAAGATCTCCATGTGGTCTGAGCAAGGAACCCTTGCAATACATTGGAGAGTTCACCTCTACCTATTACCCACATATAGAATGAGGGAAGCTCTTCTTTTTCTTCCTCTATAAAAATCATAAACGCATAACAAAAGGGAACTTTTTTTTTTTAGAGCTTCTGGTTACCCTTAAAAAAGAAAAACAAATCTAAAAAAAAACAAAGGAGAGAAAATAAGAGATAAACCCATACTTCTTGTGATTTAAACACCTTCAAACCCAAGTGATGGGTTAGGCGCGTGACACTACGCGCGCGATATTTTTTTCTGTCTGTTAGGGTTTTTTGCTCTCTCTGTTTTCGTTTCTTTGAATCTGATCTCTTGTGAACGATGAATGATTGTGAGAATGATGTTTTGATTATGGCAAGGAAGAGTACGAAGAGAACCAAGAATGGTGAGGAAATTTCAATGGAGGTGGTGATGCTGAAGCGATCAAGGATTTTCAAGCTGGATCATCCACGAAGGAAAAACCGCGATCCTTTGCAGAGGTGACTGGAGTGGAGCATGGTGTGTCAGGCTACAACGCTCCATGGCTGATTGAAGAAGAGGAACCAGACTTGGAGCCTCTGGATCCCAATTTGGGTGCAATTTCTGAATGGGGGTTTCAGACCATAATTAGGGAAGATGGTGCTGTTGAAATTCGGAGTAACAAGGAGGCTAGAGCTCGCATGTGTCAACGATGGAAGAATGCTTTGATTGTGAAATTATTGGGAAGGAAGATTGGTGTCGGGTTCATGAAGAAGAGGCTGGAAGTGATGTGGGCGAAGGCTGGAAGTATAACGGTTGCAGACCTTGGAAACGATTTCTTCTCGATCAGATTTAGCAGTTTGGAGGATTTGAATCTGGCAATCACGGGTGGACCGTGGGTCATCCTTTGGCACTACCTTGCAACTAGGAAGTGGGAACCGTGTTTTGACCCTAATAAGGCCAACATTCATAAAGTAGCTGCTTGGATCCGTCTTCCAGGGATACCGCAGGAATACTGCGAATTTCCCTTCTTGAATCACCTAGGTTCGGTGATAGGAAAAGTTATTAAGGTGGATAAGACAACATCCACTGGTGACAGAGCAAGATTTGCTAGGGTATGCATTGAGCTTGACCTTGCTCAGCCGTTAAGAGGTGAATATGTGTTGGATGGACGAAGGAAGAGGGTAGAGTATGAAGGTCTTTTTTTGATTTGTCTAAGGTGTGGGAGATATGCACACAATTCTGATTCATGTCCAGACTATGTCAAGCCTCCACACGAGAACAAGCCAAAGGAGCCTATTGTAAAGCCTATGGAGAGCAACAGTCCTCAGGGTGTAGGGCCTTGGATGGTAGTTCAACGTAGAAAGAAAAATCAGCAACCTCAACAGAAGCATGATTCTGGTTTTAACAGAGCTTTTGGTGAGGATATTTCTAATAGGAAGAACATGGTGGGTCAGAAGGCTGGAGATAATAAGGAAAAAAGTCCCTCTAAAGGGGTGAGTGTAAAGCAAGCTAAGCCTGGACCTTCAAGCCGCATGGTGAACAAGGAGAATGTCTCCTCGGCTTCCAAATCAGACTCTCTAGTCTTGGAAATGCTTTTCTCAGCTGTGGCTAGTAACTCTGTTAAAAAAATATTGGGAGCAAACCTTCGGTGGTGAGCTCCAAGAAGTATGTGGTTAAGTCTTCTTCCCAAAAAGGCAAAGGAGTTGGCTGGGATCCTACTATCAGCTTTGGATCAAGCAGTAGCTCTCTAGCTCAGAACAAGATTGGACTGGAGGGAGAAGAGATTGGGGCAGGGGTTATGTACCCATTAGTGAATGGGTCTGATCTCATTGTTGCAGACAAGTTTGCAGTTGATGATATGGTGGCTTTTGACTCTCAGAAAGAACCTGAACCTCCGAATCAAAGCAGGGGAGAGCCTTTTAAGCTGGTTGAGGTAAATGCAGGTATGGAAGTAGACTTATCCAATGCTGTTATTTCAGATAATATAATGATTAGTAGTCATGTTTCTGGTGGTGATATTCGATCTGGAAGCCAGAATTCTGGAATTGAAAATCATGATGGAAGCAGCAAGAGCTTTGTGATCTTGCAATAAAATCAATTTTTATCATGAATGTCTTCATATGGAATTGTAGAGGGGCTGTTAAGAGGCAATTTAGGAGTACCTTTAATAGATTTAAAATAAAATACAAGGTTGGGGTGGCTGCTATTTTGGAGCCAAGAGTGAGTGGTGAAAAAGCTATTAGAGTAATCAATAAATTGGGCTTCTCTAACCATATTGTAGTTGATGCTCATGGTTTTTCTGGTGGAATTTGGCTGTTGTGGAATTCTAATGAAGTCAAGGTTTCTTTCATTTCTAAGCAAGACCAATTCATCCATTGTTGGATTGAGTTTGCTGAGATGAAAGGGTTCTACTGGACGGCAGTTTATGCAAGCCCCCATGAGGGGAAGCGCAAGAGTTTGTGGGAAGACTTGAGACTGATTGGGAGGACAATGGATGATCCATGGTTGGTGTCAGGAGACTTTAATGAAATTGTTTGTGCTGAGGAGAAGAGAGGAGGTGGTCCTGTTGATTATAATAGATGTAATCAATTCTCAAATGTTTTGAGTGCTTGTGGTGTGCTGGATTTGGGGGGAGGTGGAAATAGATTCACCTGGAGAGGCCCTAAGTTCCTGCACTTGAATAGGATTTTTAAGAGGTTGGACAGGGCAGTGGCAAATGAGTGTTGGAGAACCTCTTTTGAAGATGCTGATGTCTTAACCCTCCCTGGATTGTTTTCTGACCACTGCCCTATTCTTGTCAGATTGGTTAAGGAGGATTCTGATTGGAGGGAAAGGCCTTTTAGTTTCCTTCTTTCTTGGCAGTGTGACCCTAGGTTCAATAATTTCTTTAAAGCTAACTGGAAGAAGGATACTAGCATGTGTGATAGCTTGAAATCCTTTGCTCATGCTCTTAAGGACAGGAATAAAAATGTGTTTGGCTTTATTCAGCATAAAAAGAACAGAATCATAGCTAGACTGGATGGGATTCAGAAATTGAGTAGTTGTAACAATTCCAGGCAGTTAGAAAAATTGGAAGCCAATTTGAAAAAGGAACTTTCTGGTATTCTTGATCAAGAAGAGCATCTTTGGTTCCAAAAATCCAGGAGGGATTGGATAAGGGATGGAGACAGGAATACTAGATTTTACCATACTAGTACCCTTATCCGGAGGAAAAGGAACAAGGTTATTAAGCTGCATCTTGCAGCTGGCCACTGGTTAATTGGGGAGGAGGCACTTATTGCTATGGCCAGAAATTTTATATTGATCTCTTCAAAGAAGAAGTTGTAAATCCGGTTTGGATGCATTATCATAACTCATGGCCAGATTTAGGGGAAGATTAGTTGGCCTTCCTTGCTCAGGATATTGGTATGGAAGAGGTGAAAGCTGCCTTCTTTCAGATGGCTCCCTTGAAAGCTCCTGGACCGGATGGATTTCCTGCTTTGTTTTATCAGAAGAATTGGGAGTTCCTTAAGGCTCAAGTGTTTGAGAGTATGCAGAAATTCTTTTCTCAGCCGGGTCTAATCAAGGAAGTTAATCATATTCTTCTCGCCTTTATTCCCAAAATTGATAGGCCTTGTCTCATGAAACAGTTCAGACCCATAGCCCTTTGTAATACTTTATACAAAGGACTCGGCAAGATCATTGCTAATAAGGTTAAGCCTATCTTGGGAAGCCTTATATCCCTTAACCAGGTCAGTTTTGTGCCCAAAAGACATATACAAGACAATATCATCATTGCACAAGAGCTGGTTCATGCTATGCATAGAATGAGAAGTAGAAAAAACTTTTTCTCTATCAAAATTGATTTAGAGAAGGCTTATGATAAGCTGAACTGGAGCTTCATTAGGTCTGTTCTGGAGGATGTGAAGATCACAGGAGCTTTGGAGGAGGTCATTATGGGTTGTGTGACTAGCCCATACGTGGAGGTGCTGTGGAATAGAGCTAGGACTCCTGGTTTCCATACTCAACGAGGAATTAGACAAGGGGACCCATTATCCCCTTATCTCTTTGTCTTGTGTATGGAAAAGTTAACACATCTAATTATGGATGAGGTGGAGTCTGGGAAGTGGATTCCAATAAGGGCTGGTAAGTCAGGTCCTCCTATTTCACACTTAATGTTTGCAGATGATGTTGTGCTGTTTGCTGAGGCTTCTCTCTCTCAATTGGAGTCTATCAATCGGTGTTTGAAGAATTTTTCCAAGATGTCTGGGCAAAGTGTGAGTGTGGAGAAATCCTGCATCTATTTCTCCAAGAATGTGCCTCCAGATACAGTGAATGTTATTACTGAGGCTAGTGGTTTTAAAAAAGTGAGTAATCTGGGTTTCTGTCTGGGTTCTTTACTGAGACATGGAAGAATCAAGAGGGATCACTATGCAGATGTTATCTCTAGAGTGCAAGGAAGGCTTTAGGGGTGGAAATCAAAATGTCTCTCTATGGCTGGTAGGATCACCCTAACAAAGAGTGTTATCTCAGCCATTCCATCTTACCATATGAAAAATAACATGCTGCCAGTGCATGTATGCCAGGAGGTTGAGAGATTACAGAGAAATTTCATTTGGGGGGATTCGGATATTAAAAGAAGGGCTCATTATGTGTCTTGGGATCAATTGTGTTTGCCTAGAGAGTGTGGTGGTCTAGGCATCATTAATCTAAGAAGACAAAATGAGGCCTTTATGCAGAAGCTAGCCTGGAAGATCATGCATGAACAAAATAGCCTTTGGGTTCAAGTTATGCTAGGGAAATATGGTAGGAACCTTAACCCAAATCGTGGTCTAGTAGCTAAAGCTGCTGATTCTGTGTTATGGAAATACATTTGCACAGCTAGAGATAATTTGGCTCAACACCTTGAGTGGGTGGTTGGTAATGGTGAAGTTATTTGCTTCTGGACTGATGTGTGGGGTGATTGGAAGAGCAGCTTATATGACCAAGCTGTTATTAAACCTCCTGATTCCATGCTTGACTCTAAAATTTGTGATTTCGTTGATCCTGTTACTGGGGATTGGAACTGGGGTTGCCTCAGCATTTGGCTCGATGATATTGCTATTTCTAGACTGAAAATCTTTAAGCCTCCAACAAAGGATAGCCCAGCAGACAGTATGCAATGGATAAGGAGTAGGCCAGGTAAATCCTTTGTAAGGAATGCTTACTGCTCTTTGTTTGATGCAAATGTAGGAAAGGATAAAGTTTGGTTTGCTATTTGGAGGTGGAGGGGACCATACAGGATTGCAGTATTTTTATGGCTTGCATGTTTGGATAAGCTTCTAGTTTGGATGATGACTGGACAGTGGTATGGGGGGATTTAGCTTGCCCAAACTGCTCTGCGTTTCAAGAAACTTTACTGCATACTTTGAGGGACTGCAAGGTGGCTAGGCAGGTTTGGGAGAGGTGGTTCTCAGGTATTATCCCTCCTGAATTCCTTTCTGCTGAAGGTATAGAGTGGTTTAGACTCAACCTGTTTCAGCCTTATGTTAGTAAACTATGGAATTCTTGGAAAGAGGTCTTTTTGTGACCTGTTGGCTTCTTTGGCAATGGAGGAATCTTTCTATACATGAGGAGTTGTTTGTAACTCCTCATGATCCTATCCATGCAATTATGTTATTTCTGGCTGATATGAAGAGATGTAGTATTGCTGGGCCTTTTTGGTGAGAAGTAGATGGTGACGTTGCTTCTGCTCCAAATAGGAAGTCTAGTGATTTCTTTCCAGTTAGAATTTATGTTGATGGTGCTTGCAGTCTGAATTCTGGGGTGGGAGCCTGTGGAGGGTTTATTTGTTCTGCCAGTGGTGAGTGGTTAGGTGGCTTCTCTTATAACATAGGTAGGTGCACGGTTTTGGAAGCTGAATTATGGGGCATTTATCATGGTCTCAAGATGGCAGGTGACATGAATTTCAACAAGGCTTGGGTTGGGGAGTGATAGCAAAGAAGCTATCCTTTGTCTCGAAGAAGAAACTGAGAACTATGGTTTTTCTTCCTTAATCGGCAGGATCAGAAAAGCTGGCCATGATGTGGACCAGCTCCAATTGGATTTTGTTCCAAGAGACCTCAATGTTTGTGCTGATATTTTAGCTAAGTTAGGACTTAGGCTTAAGGGTGCGGAGTTGAGTTTGTTTACTTCCCCTGTTAATATCTTTCCTTCTTGGTTAGAGTTTAGCTCCAATTTGAATGTGGAGCATTTGTGTTTGAACTTGTGTAAGTTGGGTGTTTAGTTGTCTCTGGGCTTGGCCCTCCAGTTTATCAACAACAACAAAAAACAACACCTTCAAACCCAAACTCAGAAAAAAAAAAAAAAAAAAAAAAAAAAAAAAAAAAAAACCAATTCAATAAATGTGTGTGTATGCCATTCACTAAACCATCATCAAACACTGGCCAGTGGCCACCACGCTCACACCGGCCAGAGCACCACCATGCCCCACCGTGCACCACCATGCTCTCATCGGCCAAAGCACCGCTGCGCCTCACCAAACCTCCTTCTTCACTGCGTTGTCAAGCCATACGCTCTCATTAGCAGTCAAAGGTGCCATGTTTAATGTGCTGCTAGCGGCTGTTGTATGTCCACACCATTTAGAAATTAGGTTTTAATGTGTTTTGTATTCTTTCAAAGTTTAACATGTTCGTCGGCTATTATACAGAGCTCATTAATTTGTTTAGTTTCAGTGGGCTCACATCTTTAGTTAGATTCAAGACTTTAAATGGACCAATGGATTTGTTATCAAGATAAATAAATAGATGAATAAAATAATAAAAAAGAACAAAATTAAAAAATGAGAATAAGAACAATAAAAATAAAAAGTAGTTGCATCGTATAGTATGTCTTACCATGATAATTCACTTTTCTTAATACACTTGGTTATCATTTTGAATATTTCATTTATTTGCTTGCGAATGTAACTAAATATTTTAAGGGAAAAAAGTTTCCGATGTTACTTTAGATAACTTTATCTAATGTTCATCGAAACGACGAAACGACGTTGTTTGAGGTTAAAAAATTAAAAAATTAGAGTGATAAAGACTATTATAACCCTGAAATAAATTAAAATTACAAAAATACCATGATTTCCGTCCCAAAACGACGTCGTTTTGATGAACATTAGATAAAGTTATCTAAAGTAACATCAGAAAAAACAAACCCATATTTTAACATTACAAAAAATAAAAAAATAAAAGAAAATAATCTGTGTTATTATTGTTGTTTTTAATTCTTGTTTGTCTTCATGATACATTTTCATTGTGTAATTTATATATTTGTAGTGATGATGTGATCAATTATTTTGTCATAAAAATGACACACAATTTTTTTACAAAGATTGAATTTTAAACTATATTTTAATTCACGCAATGATTTACAACATTGATGTATGATCTTCCATCCTCAAGAGGAATAAATCTTTGGTACTACTGTTGTACCAAGATTCAGTGCATCTCATCAATGAAAGTATTACACATCAGAGGAGAGAGATAAATTTGACAAAAAAAAAAAGAATTTTAACTGACATGTAATATTTTCATTGGTGAGATGCACTGAATCTTTGGAACAGCAGTAGTACCAAAGATTTATTCCCTAAAGAGTTATATATATCATATGAGTTTTCGTATAGCTATGTTATCTTAAACTTTGTGCAAATGTGAATTCTTTTCCCTAAAATATCAACTTCAAAGATTCCAAAAAAAAAAGATTAAAGTTTATTTATTTAATTTTTTCGTTCTAAAATTCCCAATATCCTAGCACCGATGTACAGTGTTGATGTATCGTCTTCCATCCTCAAGTGTAAGCTTCGTAAGAATTTACGTGTAGTCATGCTACCTTAAATTTTGAGCTACGATGGATTCCTTTTCAGAAATTAAGACAAAAATCTTTTCTCAAAGTTATTTTCAAAAATTAAAATCAACAAACACACAAATAGTTTCTATAGAACGACGTAGCTTTGATTTTTCTATTATACCAAGGGATACGTCGGAGCGGGACTCATCTCGTCAAGCACAAAAATAAATTTTAAAAAAAATTAGTTTTGTTTTCTTTAATCATTTTTGTTTAATTCTTTGGGGTGAAATAAATATTTAAAATTTTATCAATAATTTGCACAATTAATATAAGGTAATCGTTTTTAAAACGGACGGTGTAAAGTGCTCGTACCTTCCCTACTCGTAATCGACTCCCGAATCCATTTTTGTTGTTTTTCAAAGACCAATTTTCAAACAAAAAGGGTTTTTCCAATGTTTTCTCAAATAAACCTTGGTGCCGACTCCATTGTTTTTAAACTTTCAATCTTTTGACGTCACGTCGCGATCCGG